CACCTCCCCAGTCCACTAATCTCTTCTGAGGACACTGCTTTGTAGCGATGGGCACAAGCCTGCAGCAATACCAACGAAATAACTCATACTCGGCCTGTACTCAACTACTTATGTACTCATACTCAGCCTAAACTTAGACACTGAAAAACTCACTCAGATATCTGGTAAAGGAGTCAATGACAAAGTACCTGGACTTGACCCATAGGCCTACTTGGCATTCAATGAACTCGTAAAAAATGTGGAACTCAGATTTTGATACTCGACTACAACACTGGCTGAAACTCACCGCTACTTTTCCACCAGGCCCCTGGCTCTTGACCGTTACGCCGAGCCACTCATCTGTTTTGTTCTCCCCTGGCTCGTTGCCTGTGGAAACAAAAAATTACACACAGTCTACTCGGATTCCACTTGGAAAAAAGGTCACACTGTAAAACATGCCCACCATTCCACTGGGGTACATTTTGTACATGGCGGGTTTTCAATGTCCTCGTTTTCTGAGAGAGTCCACTCTTGTACACGTACATGTGATAAGACTTTTTTTTACCATTTTAAGGTGCTACCTTATCCGGGCGTATAAGTCTCATGCATGCTCAAACATGACGTGTCTGTGCATTTGGACACCTTAATGCAGAACATCCCTCAAGGTTGTACATTGCTTGTTTTCCAACACACATCCAAAGGAAACACAAAGGCTAAAGTCCTTAAACCAAAATCCTGTTAATATTTTTACTCCAGTTTATACTTAAGACATTTTAACAATGAGATTATGTTCATGATCTTGGTACCGTACAAATGTCTCGTTTAAAGCTAATACTTGCAATGATTAAATGCTAGTATGTTTCTTCTGACCATTTTTGGCTTGTTTTTCCAAGCCCTGCCATTGGTTGAAGGGGAAATATTACATATACTCGTACATGTAGTTGGAGGGGGCAGTGTACAATACCTGCCACCCGAGGCCAAAGAGGTCACTACAATTAGCCAGATGAGCCAATACACAGAGGACACCCCGCTTGTAACTTGTAAGAGGACTTGTAACCGACTACTGGTTGAACCATACTGTGATACATGTACTGTAGCTTGATTCCGACTGCTCCAGTACAAGACATGCTTATCACTATCCAACGTTAAGCTCTACGCTACACACGTACTTTGATTACTTTGATTTCGGCTTTACCTTCTTGGTCCAACTTCAAGTCTACGCAATCATCTAACAATGTGCTGAGGGGACACTTGAAGACGCCGCCTGTCTTGGGTACGATGGCATCTGGGGCACTGTATGTCGGCGCCCCAACCAGGATCCTATAGAAAATGACAGCAAATATTAATCAGCACACCAGTTAGGGGAGGGCAGGGACATCAGGGGAGGGGCAACGATCTTGTCTACGATGAAAGGGTTCACGCGATGAAATATGCTTTGGATCGCCTGATTTAAATGTGCAAATACACTACTTGAATGACTGAATTGTTGCGGAGTTGTTGCAGTAAAAACAATATGTGGTGAGGACGCTTAAAAATGCTGGTACATGTATACGCCATTCCCTTCCCAGCAAAGGTTAAGGAGTACCACTCCGCAAAGTGATTTCCCTTGCATGTACTGCTACATGTAGGTGCTATCTCAATGTTTTGGAAGGGAATCTAACGATTTAACCACCCGGAAGTGTGAAATTACTATTGGACATCTCCCATTTTCCGACCACTTTTTGGTACAGTATTTGTCAACCAAAAGCAGATGTGGTTGGACAAAATGTCAAAAAAACAATGTGAAGGTGAAAAACACTAAAGCTAATTCCTGGTTTTTTTACTTGGTGTTTGTACTGATGAAGTTTAAACCAAAAAGGTGTGTCCTCGTGACCTTGACTGATTAAAAAGCTGGTGATGGCAAAATGAAATTGATCCCGTTAATACATGTACGTGGGTAATTCCAGAAATTTGGGGTCCAAAGTGTGACATTTTTGTGTCCCTGTTCCATCTGACCTTTGCTATTTGACATGGAAATATCACCAGAATTGATTTCAAACTATTACTATTTGGTTGGCAGGTACATGTACTATGCATTAATTCATCACTCTTGGAAATTAGAAAATGTGTTCTAAACTTACAAAATCCTATGTCAAATGTGACAGGGACACACACACAAAAATGGACCCCAACATTGTAATTTCTGGAATTACCCATTTGTATGTTTTCACTGACTACTTTTTGGGCCCAACGCACGAACTGGTCACTAGTGTTAAAGATTTTCATCTACTGCTGTGCTGAGAAAGAGTTTGTAAATTTTGTATGAGCCTGTTCAAAACTGTTTCGCCTGTCCTCTAGACGGGGAGGTGGCTGAATGAGAGAGTTTTACGAGGGTATTTTGTGTGCAGGGCATGAAAGCGACCTCCTGACACGAGACATTTTCCAGCCACTTCCAAGGTGGCAGACTGAAGGAAGGTGCACTCCAGCAAAATATCTAAAGAAAATGTCAAGGTCTCAGTACTAAGTCTCCAAAGCAAAAATCCTGTTGTCTGTCCATGTAGTTAAATAATCTGTTTTTTTGTACTGATGGTAATTTACGAGAGTGTTAGTACATGTATGTTCTGATCAAAAGCTGTTAATGGCAAGGTGAAATTTAATTGACAGTGAAAATTCATTTGTTACGTTCGACCACTTTTTTTGGGCATATCACACTGCTTGTACAGACATCCAACTGCATACAGTGAACAGTGCACTAGTATTTGGTAACTGTCATGAAAGCACAGTACATACGTGTACTGAGTAAACGTTTGGTTCTGAATGCTCAAAACGAAAGTGAAAATCACTAAATTTATACAACACAGAAATGTAAATAAGAGTCGAATTTGTACTTTGTCTTAATCAAAGTAAGTTATAATATAATGGGAATACATGAACTTCCTGTTCAAACAAATCTAGATCCTTACAACATGTCCAAGACAAAATTTAAATCCTCACTGTTATCGAGCAGTACATTTGTGTGAATTTCAGAAATGGTCAGCATTCAGTAAATAAAGAGAAATCAAATGACACACTAAACTTGCATTGACCACACATGTATTTCACCACTGACAGGTAAAGACTTCACACAAGGGTAAACAGGCTGATATTTTTACAAAATTGTACATGTACCGGTACAACACAAGGCTGGGGCAGTCACAGTTTAAAATAAAGTACATGTAGCAACATGCTTAGACACACCAGTCAAGCATGTGTTGTTGCTTCTTTCTTCTTGGAAATCATACAGTGTACCAGGTACATGTATCATTGACATTCTTAAAGGCAGATGTCAGAGCTGCAGTCTGGCAGCCTACGCAGCATCCAGGAGGTCATGACTAATTGAATTCACAGTATGGATACCATCCTCCTTGCACACCTCTTGCTGCTCACTCCTTGAGCAGCCCAAGTGAGCAGGCCATAATTGGTGTACGATACATGTACAGTAAGGGGCAATACATCCATGTAAGTCTCCCATTTATAAGCAGATTAAAGGTCTTCTCACAAATAGCCCCCCCTCCCCGTGACTCATACATGCACAGTGTATGCCTGTACAATGCATTTAGATCCATATGCATACATCCTGTGTGTTTGTACATGTACTGTAGGATGTGTTAGGGGTTATATAAACTGTTATACCAATTGCATGTACCATGTATACTTAAACATTTTTTTTAAACATTTATTCCATGAACTGGATGAAAAAAGACAGAGAGCCCTTTTCCAGTGAAATATTGTAAGCATCCTTTTCCGGACATGCATGTACATTAGTTACAGCAAGCGTTAACAGTAACACAAGGCTGTCGACCATGTTGACACATTACCCATAAAACTTATCAACCCCCACCCGTACACACTGCAATGAAAAATAATATTTTTTAAAAGGTCCACATGTACACGTGCCTACTTTTGACACAAAGGTGCCATTCACAAATTCTACAGTATCTAGAAAAAACTCCAACGACCGGTACACAGGCCCTTTGAATTGAAATGTATCCCCACTTCAACTGCCTCCTTTTTGTCAAAAGAAAACAGGAAGTGCCCATTGTGTGGGGAGCATGGCCCTGTCTGTGGTTGGTTTGACAGCTCAAGGAGTGGTCTATTCATTTTGTTTGGAGCCCAGTGTGCATTACCCGTCATGTCCTTATGTACAGTGTATTGTACACATGTACATGTAATTTTTTCAATGTATAGCAGGGTTTAATTCATGTCATGGTCACATGTACAGGTACACATTGTATACAGTATGCACCGGTAGGTTGCAACCTGACCAGTGTGG